GGTTGCTGGTGGGGGGGGGGGGGGGGGGGGGGGGGGGGTTGCACATGAACTTGGCTTTGCACCAAATTTGGAGGATCACCACCTCATAATCAAATGGATTAAAAAACATATTTGCGCCAAACAATCGTATTACAAACGACACTAAACACCAATAACGGGGCCAAGGCGGTGACTCGCTCTGACCGGTCACGGTTTCATCAAAGCCTTTGAGAAAGAAGCTCAAAACTACAAACATGACTCATTCTCCAAGAAGCGTGTGAAAAACACAAAACGTTGTGCAACATCAAGCCATCATCGACTTTCTCTACGATTTAAACAACATCACACGGTTTCCCTGCATGACACGGAGAGAGTCACAGAACTGCAGGAACTACTTCTTCTCTACTCAACTTAATGAGTTAATTTCAGCTCGTTCTGTTTACCACAAAAGACCTGACAGAAAGCCGACCCCAGCAGTTGTAAAGAACCTCATATCTTCTTGGCAAAGAAACTTCTTAAAGAGAGAACCTGTAACCAATCAGCACCCAGCAGGAAGTAACCAGTACACCTGTGAGACCTGGACATGGACCACAGCCACACAAACACAACAAAAAACCATCTCCGAGCACACTGACGACTGAGCACCGTTTTAGAAATGATCTCCGTCCACGCCAACACACCTGAAGACTAATACATCAAATGACTATTCACGTACACTGGGCATGATGGTGCCGGTGTGAACAGGAAGTAGATTAGTTGCTTAGTTACAGAGTATTATTGTAATCTTTAATGTAAAAGGTCCTGCTTGATACTTTAGATCTTCTTCTATAAACTCAAAACATTGTATTTTTCCAAACCTAGTAACGAGGCTGCAGGTCTGTCTCACATTAAATGCACTTTGAAATGAACACTTATAGTCAAAGTTGACTAGATTATGAATCAATAAATGTGATCAACACACGTCAACTCACTCATAGCTCTGCTGGAGGCTGAAGTCTCTGGAGAGCATTTATGCTTTTGTTCCTTTTAGTTTCTGTGTGGACTTCACGATAGTTGTGCAGAACTAAATAAGCATTAATAAGAAAAGGGAAGACACACGCCGCTCGCTAATCACTCCAATAACAGCTGCTTCCTCCGCATGTCGGCAGTAGTAGAATTATAAAATGCAGAATTTAACTGAACAGCTGCTAGTAAAGACAAGAATGTGAGTGACGGCTGTAATCTGTTATCCATGTTAAATTAACCTGGTAGTCAATAACCAAAGCTGAGTCCGTTTGTCTTTTTTTGTAAGTATCGTGATAATATCGTATTGCGACTTAAGAATCGAGATAATATCGCGTCTTGACTTATTGTGAAAATATCGTATCGCGCCTTGACTTATCGAGATAATATCGCGTCTTAACTTATCGAGATAATATCGAGTCTTGACTTAGAGATAATATCGCATCGTGACTTAAGTATCGCGAAAATATCGCATCGTGACTTAAGTATCGACATAATATCGCGCCTTGACTTATCGAGATAATATCGTATCGTGAAAATATCGTATCGTGACTTAAGTATCGTGATAATATCGCATCGTGACTTAAGTATCGAGATAATATCGTGTCTTGACTTAAGTATCGAGATAATATCGTGTCTTAGGTTAAGTATCGTGATTATTTCGTATCGTGACTTAAGTATCGTGATAACATCATGTCTTGACTTAAGTATCGAGATAATATCGCGTCATGACTTAAGTATCGTGATAATATCGTATCGTGACTTAAGTATCGTGATAATATCGTGGGGCCTCTGGTGATTCACACCCCTTGAAACTTTGCAGTACTTTTAAAAATATATAAACATGTTATTTATTAAAACACTTGAAAGAGTTTTCGATACCAAACAAATGTAGAGGTTTGATTATTACTGATGGCACACAAACACTCACAGCTCATATGTTTTCAGGAGATTCCTTCTGAGGTTCTTGTTGTCTTTCCTACCAGATGCTGCTGCTTGCCGTTTGTGTCGCATGTGTGCTCTAACACTCGGATATTTACGACCTCTCGCCCGGCCGACACGGTCGACCCTTCCCTGCAGATCTACTCGACGTGACGGAGGTCCTAGAGGTGGGCAGCAGCTGTTAACACATTATCAGTTTAACCACGTTCATCAGATGATATTTGACCTTCGATATTGAATTAAAATCTGTGGATTTTTGCACGTTTTTGGAGAATAATGCAACAAAAAGCACATTTAAGTGTAAACATTGGCTGTTCGTCTGTGGAGACTCACGCTTCAGTGCAAAGTGAGTACAAACAAAGCTTCAGTGTGTTGGTATATCTCTGCTTCCTGGGGTCTCTGAACAGTCTTGAGCTGTATAAACTGGGTTTGACTGGAGAACTCGTGTCGATGCAATGAGCTCAGCTGTCTTCATGTGTGATGATGTTCTCACAGCGACACCAATGACTTGACTGAATAGAAACGAGCTGCATGATAATCACAGCCCGGTGAAGCTTTACCACATACAGTCACAATAACGGGGTTCTGACGGTGTACAGCACTTCACTTTCACGTTATCGGGTATCGGATAAAAACAATGTGCCGACTGCACACACACACACACACACACACACACACACACTTTCTCTGCTGCCATTTTCAGTTTGTGCCGACAGCAGTAGCTATAGCGTTAGCAGCTATAGCGTTAGCAGCTAATGCTAACTCTCTCCTGCTCACCAGCAGCTCTGTACGCTGAACACAAAGCAACTAGCCAACAGTTAGCAGAGCTGGAGTAGAGATGACGTCCAGATTAGAATATTAATCTTCGTCAGCCAACAGATGCAAAACAAAAAGCAGAATATTTGGTGCATTTAAACGTCGTCATTGAAACATAAGGAGTTTCTGCTTTCAGAGTTTGTCTCTACAATGAGTTGTGTGGCCTTGTGACACACGCGGCAGCTTAATTAAGGACCTAATGCATGCGTTTCTGGACTACCTCGGGCCTTTCTTACAGGACTTTCCGTAGCTCGAGAGCTGCATGACAAGTCAGAGTCCCGGGATGTACAGTATATATGTTTTCAGGAAGCGGCCAGTCTTACCTATGAGAGCCTGGAAGAGGTTGCTCTGGAAGATGTCGATGACCCTCTGGATGGAGTGGCGGAGCTGCCGGTCCTCGGCGTGGTGCAGCTTGGTCCGGTACTCCTCCAGCAGCCGGAGGGCTCGCTGAGCATCTGGGGAACAGGAAGTGGAGGAGCAGCAGAGGAAGCTGTGTTTAAGCCGGTATAGATGGAGTTTGGTTTAATGACGGTATAATAAAGGTCAGTTTATCAGCTCTATAGGCATCAAAACCTCTGATCAAGAAACAGATCCAGACTAAAGCACATCAGAGTAAATGCTTAATATTGAAATTACAAAGTAATGAAGAAACTTTCTGATGTTCGTTTAAAAAAATACACTTGAAGACTTTTAAAAAGGACCTGAAGAGAGAGAGAGAGAGCTGTTATTGTCATTATGAATAAATCTTTGATGATTTTTAAACCGTCCGTCACAACTTTCCAGACTCAAGGTGATGTTTCCTCAAACACATCTAGACATTCAGACGGTTTCTGCTTTAGAGAAATGAGTTAAAGCGATTAATCATTCAAACAGTTCTCTTCTTCTACTATCCTGTGAACGCAGTGGAGCAGCAGGTCAGATTTGGTTTTTAAGGCGTCGAAACATTTAATTCTGCAGAAGAAATCTACGAATTTAGACCAAAACAAAAAGAACTCGGACGATGAAAACACGATGTCGTGAATATGAATCCGAGTCTCCTGAAGGACGTTTAAAGACCTGATGTTAACAATTCAAGACTTTTTAAAGACTTTAAGGATAATCTGAACAAAGATGAAACAATATCGCATCTGATCTCGAGATGAGTAAATACAGCTGTGTGATGGTTCATTTAACGTATTAACGTTCATCTAGAACACAAGAGGAGGTTCATCTAGAACACAAGAGGAGGAGTCTGTGTCAGACGAGCTGCTTCTTACGACTCAATTAGTCATCAGATGATTCTATTCATGATTGTTTTGATGAGTTAATCTTTGAAGATTAACATAGTTGGGCATACTATTGGACACGGTTGGGCTGTCCTGGCTGAAACGCCTCTTCAATGTCGCATGGGGGTCGGGATCAGTGCCCATGGACTGGCAGACCGGGATGGTGGTTCCCATTTTCAAAAAGGGGGACCGGAGAGTGTGCTCGAATTACCGGGGTATTACACTACTCAGCCTCCCGGGGAAGGCTTATGCCAGGGTGCTGGAAAGGAGGCTCCGACCGCTTGTCGAACCTCAGATTCAAGAGGAGCAGTGCGGATTCCGTCCCGGCCGTGGAACAGTGGACCGGCTCTTTACCCTCGCAAGACTACTGGAGGGGTTCTGGGAGTTTGCCCAACCAGTCTACATGTGCTTTGTGGACTTGGAGAAGGCTTTCGACCGGGTCCCTCGGGGTTCTTGTGGGGGGTGCTGCGGGAGTATGGGGTGCCGGACCCATTACAATGGGCGATCCGGTCTCTGTACGACTGCAGTAGGAGCTGTGTCCGCATTCTCGGCAATAAGTCAGACACGTTCCCGGTGGGTGTTGGCCTCCGCCAGGGCTGCCCTTTGTCACCGGTCCTGTTCGTGACTTTCACGGACAGGATATCTAGGCGCAGCCTGGGGGCGGAGAACGTCAGGTTCGGGGGTCTCGGGATCGCCTCTCTGCTGTTTGCAGATGATGTGGTCCTGTTAGCCTCCTCGGATCGTGACCTCCAGCATTCACTGGGGCGGTTTGCAGCCGAGTGTGAAGCGGCGGGGATGAGAGTTAGCACCTCCAAATCTGAGGTCATGGTGCTCTGCCGGAAACCGGTGGATTGCTCCCTCCAGGTGGGGACGGAGTGCCTACCTCAAGCGAAGGAGTTCAAGTATCTCGGGGTCTTGTTCACGAGTGAGGGTAAGATGGAGCGGGAGATCGACAGGCGGATCGGTGCGGCTGCAGCAGTAAAGCAGGCGCTGCACCGGACCGTCTTGGTGAAGAGGGAGCTGAGCCGGAAGGCAAAGCTCTCAATTTACCACTCGGTCTACGTTCCTACCCTCACCTATGGTCACGAACTCTGGGTCGTGACCGAAAGGACAAGGTCGCGGCTACAAGCGGCCGAAATGAGCTTCCTCCATAGGGTGGCCGGGCTCAGCCTTAGAGATAGGGTAAGGAGCTCGGTCATCAGGAGGGAGCTTGGAGTCGAGCCGCTACTCCTTCGTGTCGAAAGGAGTCAGCTGAGGTGGTTCGGGCATCTAATTAGGATGCCTCCTGGACGCCTCCCACTGGAGGTTTTCCAGGCACGTCCAACTGGGAAGAGACCCCGGGGAAGACCCAGACCACGCTGGAGGGATTACATCTCCCAGCTGGCCTGGGAACGCCTCGGGATCCCCCAGAATGAGCTGGAACATGTTGCCGGTGAGAGGGAGGTCTGGGTCGGCCTGCTTGACCTGCTGCCACCGCGACCCGACCCCGGATAAGAGGAGGAAAATGGATGGATGGATGGATGGATCTTTGAAGATGCTTTATTTATTTCATCTGTCAATAAATTGATCAACAGAAAATTATCCTCAAAAGAGTCAAAGCGTCCGCTGGTTCCAGTTGTTCTTCTCTGGATCAACTTAAACTGAACATATTTGTCTTGTTTTGTCGCTTTAGGAACTTGTAATGAGCAGTTTATCTCCGTTAGACAAAGAGGGTTAACTAAATGTTAGCACCACCACTTTCTTTAAATAAAAGGAAACTGATTTCTCTCGTTATAATTGTCTAATTTATTCAATGTTTAACGTTCTACATCAACAAGCAGAGAGGAGCTACATCGTGGACTTACTGTTTATATAGTCATGTATGATTTATTATATTACACTTGAAGATGAACAACCTGCACAGATATCTAACAGGTAACTGAATAGATTATTGAATTACTCATTTAAATAATTGAGTTAAAATCATCTTGTTTATAACTATTGATATTAAATCATCACTCTGGGCTCTCTCTTTATTATTGACATTTTACAGATTAAACACACATCAGATGGACACTAGATTAAATATAATAACATAATATAATATAATAACAGCTGCATAGTGTGTCACAGAGACAGTACTGTCTGATACTGTGGGACTTATATAGTTAATATATAATGAGGTCCCAATTAACTCACTATTGACACTATTGTATCAGGATGAAAGTAACTTAAACAAGTTTATTAACACCATAACAGTATATATTATATATGATATATATTTACAGTTAACCTATGTGAAGAACGCTGTGGTGCCTGTTATTATTATTATTATTATTTATTAATATAGTTTATTTATAGTTGGGCTCCATGTCCAACTTGGTTAGCATAACAGCGGCTAACCGGCGGCTAGCCAGCTACTTTAACTGACTTTACTCAAACCGGCACGGCTCGGCACGGCTGGGCTCAATTTAGGCCGAAACCAGCCGACGGGGTGCTGCGGGGTTTATCTCGAGTTACGAGAGCTTAGTTTCTTTTTGCGTGTTTTTCTACAGTTCTGAGGCAGGTTTAGTGGAGTTAGCCGCCATGCTAGCTTGTGCTAGTTAATAATAACTTACCTTTCTTCCTGACTGGCATGGTTGGGGGGGGGGTTGGCTCGGTTCGGTTCGGAGCTAGTTCTTCGTTAGCCACATACACACTGTGGTTGTTTTATTGGTTATTCCGCCGGTTAAAGCCCCGCTGTCACTGCTCCAAGTGTGCAGGAGGAGATGTAGGTAATCCTGCACGACACCAAGTTAACAAACTAACTGTCAGAGGAGACAACCGGCCCGTCCGGGGCGATCAACCCACCGATACAGGGAGGGGGGGCAGTACAACCACAGTCCTGGGTAAAAAGTAATATCACGGAAGCTGGATCCAGAAAAAATAAAAATAAAAATAAAAGCTCCGGTGCGTTACCGACACCTTCGTGCTGTACTTCCCCCGCCAGAGAGCCTCCCTGTCCCGGCGTTTACCGCGCAGACTGACCGCTGAGCGACACAAACAAGTGGACCAAACCAGTTTTCACCAACAGTGACCCGCGGCGCGCCGGACTCCACGTAAAAAACACTGCTTTTAGCAGAGCACGGGGCGCGTGCACGAGCTGCCCGCTGCTGCTGGTTGGTAGGTAGGTAGGGGGGGGGTGATTATTCCAGGAATTAAAAAACTGAAAGTTCAAAGTCCCGCCACCGCTTGGTGGCACACTCAAACCCGGACACGTTTATCCCGCACTGCCACGCACACTTTATCTGTGTGTGTGTGTTATGTTCCCTCTGCATTCGTGTCAAACTTCTCTCAAGTGTAAATCCCTCCTCTATTTTCATTCTACTTCCTCCTTTAGTCCTCCTTCCTCCTCCTCCTCCACCTCCTCCTCAGGTCGTACAAATTACAAACTTTCCTCCAAAATGGCGTCGCACGGAGCCGCAAACGTGAACCACGTGACTCCCAAAAGATTACCTCCTCCAACCTGCCACCCAATCATGCAGCTCACCTACAGGAGGAGGAGGAGGAGGAATGAAGTAAAACATGCAGAAATCATTAGAAACTAGAATGTGATGTGACCGGCTCAGGACAGCAGGGTGATTTAAACACCACGGTTCCCAGCAGCAGTGATATTGGTGATAAGAGGTGCCTGCACAGAGCTCAAAGGACATGAAAGACTAAACCCTCCCAGCTGTCCTCAGAGACACAGAAGATCATCTGCTTCACCAGCAGACTTCAGAGCAGCTTCTCTCCTCAGGCCGAGAGGCTCCGGAAGCTTAGTTTATACTCACGCGTAGCATCGTAGCTCCGAGTATTAACGAAGACGTTTATACTGACGCGTAGCATCGTAGCTCCGAGTATTAACGAAGACGTTTATACTCAACGTGCTGTTTGTTGAACTGAGAAGAATCAAGAAGACGAGTGTAACCGACAAAACACCACAAACTAAGCTTCAATAATCGCCTTCCTTCTGGGGACAAAATCTAAATATCTCTTTCATATTCATAAATTCCCGGATATCTCTCACGCTGCACATTGTCTCGTTAGCATAAACCGGCTTTTGTGAACGTTGATTTTCTGTCTTTTTTTGTAAAAATTGAGTCTTTGCAATGAAACACGTCACTAGATCAAATAAAATCATCTTAAAAATAGATAAACATTTTTTAATCTTAATCGTAAATATAATCCTCTTCCTCCTCCTTCCTCCTCCCTTCTCCTCTTCCTCCTCCTCCCCCTCCTCCTTCCTCTTCCTCCTCCTTCCTCTTCCTGCTCATTCCTCCACCTTCCTCTTCCTGCTCCTTCCTCCACCTTCCTCCTCCTCCTCTTCCGCCTTCCTCCTCCTTCCTCCTCCTTCCTCCTCCTCCTCCTCCTCCTCTGTAGACTTTAGTTCCTTTGGAGGACACCCCAACAGAAAGGTCAGAGATCAGACAGTGACCACTCCTCTCCCACAGCATGAATCCATCCTTTTGGTCCTGATGAAGATGAAACACCCTCCTCCTCCTCCTCCTCCTCCTCTTTGTTCTCCTTGTCTCTCATCTCGTCTCTGTCTCATGTGCCGATGATGCAAACACTGGCCCAGATTAAAGAGAGCAGCTCCGGTGAAAAGGAGGAGGCCCTGTATTTTTAGCCGTCCATGTTTAATGAATGAGTGTCGGCTCTGGTCGTGTTAAAGAACAGGAGGAGAGGTCTGCTCTCACGCCATCACTCACATCCTGATGTTCCACAAGTTCCACATGTTCCACATGTTCCACGAGGTGACGTTCTGCTGACGGATGATCAAAAGGTTTATGTTTATTATCTTATTGCACTTTATGTTTGTACCTCGTTATGTTCTGGACCTGTTGTCTTATGTTCATAAGTTCCTCCTCCTCCTCCTCCTCCTGATACAGTACATGAGTACATGTTACAATACATGATACATGAGTACATGATACATGAGTACATGAGTATGAATACATGTTACAGTACATGAGTACGTGACACAGTACATGAGTACATGAGTACATGAAATATGATGAACTGATTAAACACGATGCTTCGTTAGCACAGCCCCTCACAGGTGTGTTCACTTGTGGTTCTGGTTCAACCAATCAGGTCGGAGCTCTGCTGATTCCTGTGAGGTCATCATGAACTCAGCAGAATGATGACGTGAAAACACTCAAAGAACAAATGTTGTTTTTATGAATCGCTATCTTTGTCTGCAAAAGCTAAATAAATACGTCATCTTTGCAACACTCTAAAGGGCCCATGTTGCACGGTAAGTACTTTTACTTTATGGTACTTTAAGTGTATTCTGCTGGTAATACTTAGAGTAACCTTTAGAGTAACAGAGTATTTCTACACCAAAGTACTTCCTGTGTTGTTCTTAAACACCCTCAGAGAGGCCATCATTCATCTAAGAAGCTGTGAGAATTAGCACTTAGCTTAGCATACATGTGGTGACAAACATGGAGGCGTTTCACTGCAGAGGCTCCTGGGAAGTTTACAAAAACATAAATATAATAAGTATAGGAACAAAAACAAACACATACATTAATCACATCATCATATAACATATTAAACTCAAGTGTCTCTGTGAGTTATAGAAAGAGGAAAAAATATAGAAGAAAGTTTAGAATTAAAACAGAAACAAAAAGACAAACGTCTCTGAACCAAACCTCGCAAAGAATACAGAAATATGATAATCCTGCTCCAGCTGCTCAACAATAACATCATCAGTGACAAGTAATATCTGTGGATTATGATGTTTCACACTGACATCACAACGTCTTTCTGCTTTACATCCAGTTTGTATTCTAAAGTATTTTGTTTTTACTTCTATGTTGTATTTTATTAATAATTACATTTTTAGCGAGAACAAGTTTTTCATGTTTTCAGTAAATGTGATGTTGTGTGATGTAGAGTCAGAGTCAGACGGCTGCATTAACGACCATGACGAGTGTCTGAGCAATGCGCTGTGAGAGAGTGTGTGTGTGTGTGTGTGTGCGTGTGTGTGT